CACCCCATACACAGCCACAAGTACGTGCTCATACCCGGCCTACCCTACCCCCACACCCCATACACAGCCACAAGTACGTGCTCACACCCTGCCTACCCGACCCCCACACCCCATACACAGCCACAAGTACGTGCTCACACCCTGCCTACCCGACCCCCACACCCCATACACGGGCACAAGTACGTGCTCACACCCTGCTTACCCCCACACCCCACACCCCATACACGGCCACAAGTACGTGCTCACACCTTGCCTACCCGACCCCCACACCCCATACACCCACACCCCACCCTTACCTCACCCCCACATCCACCCCGCACCCACTACATAACCACCCCCACCCCACTCCTACACCTTGGCTACGCCAGAGCGTGTGCCTGGCAGTCGAGAGGGGAGGAAGTACTAGTTCTAAGCACCACCCCACACCCCAGATACGTACGCCAGAGAGTGTGTGCCTAGCAGTCGAGCAGGGAGAGAGTAAAGGGTTTAAACTACTCCACGTTGCGCGTTTCGTCGCAAGGCGTACGTCAAGTGACGCGTGTGAAATGCTCTCTGATCCGTTTCGATTGCCCGCGATAGCTGTCGCTCGATGTTGGAGGGTTAGGGATGATGCGTGCTGCAGTTTACTCACGTGCGTGTTCGCTCTCTCCATCTCTCCTGTAATCCTGCCAGCGTTGCAGTGGGTGACTGTCCAGTTTTATGTCGTCACTGAAACAGTGCCACCTGGTGAGTAACTGTGGCTACATTTTACATCAACATCTGGCAGCCTCAAGCTGCGTTTACACTATCGATTTTTGTCAGCAAATCGTACCGATTTCGAGTGCATTCCAACTAATTAGCTGAAATTCGATTGTGTCAGAGTCAAGTCGCCGAGTTGGAGAAATAGAACGTGTTCTATTTTGCACGACTCGGACGATTTGCTGACAAAAATCGATAGTGTAAACGCAGCTTCACACAGCCTCTTTCCCACACAGGTATCTCGCTGACCTCTCTCTCTCTCCGTATCTCGGCAGGTCCCAGCGTGGAGTACGACCTGGTGCGCAAGGCGCAGGTGCGCTGTCGTGACATCCTCGCCTACGTCAACCAGGCCGTGCGCGAGACGGAGAACCGCGCGCGCCTCGCAGACTTCCAGAAGCGTCTCGACCTGTCGCCGCTGCAGCGACTCGACAACCCGCTCGCGAAGGAATTCCGCGTGAGTGTCCCCGCCGCACCGTTATCACTCGCCCGTATGTTAGCCCGCCATCGGGTTTTACGTGGGGGGGGGATGTTGGGTGCAGTAGAGGTAGACAGTGGGTTTGAGAGCCTGCACTTGTTAGAAATTACTTGCGCTGATAGAAACATCCAAGCACTGAGGTTCAACAGGTTGACCTGATTCGTAACGCTGGAAAAGCAAAAATCCAATTCGTGAACACAATTATGTGGTCATTGCTCTCGTGTATTTACTCTCTCTGTATGACCATCGCCTCCTATGGCTGTGTTGTTTGCTGTTCGGAATCCACGGATCTCGATCCACTCGATCGAAACCCTGGACCAAACAAACGCAAACCACTATCAACGCTTCCACGTTCGCTGCTACCTATCACGAATGTTCATAACAAGGAACAAGCTGTGATGGCTGAGCGCGGAGCCGCCATATTGGATCCCGCGTTCGAACTCCACCTCCTAGCAGGTCGCGTTGTGGATCGAGCAATCGTGGATGCTGAAACAAACAAACATCATGATCCACGATCCAGGGAATCGAGATCCGTGGAATCCGATCAAACAAGCACTGCCATATGTGATCCCTGCTCAATAATCCTCTGCAAAAATAGTATATTATATATAATTAATTAATTAATTCATTAATATTAATATGTAAATTACTTTATATATATGCTCGCCCCCCTCTGCCCTGCAGCACCCTGGACCTGAGCGAAGCACAGAAGTGCTTCTACGACGGCACGCTGATGTGGCGCTACAGCGTGCGCAAGCAATCGAATGATCACGCGCGTTGCCTCAGCACCTGCCGTGCTCATGCAGCGCGACGACAGCAAGTACTGGCTTAAGTTCATGAGCACGAACGTCGTGCCGGCAAGGAGACACGAATTCAATCACTCGCCCATCACAAGCTGCCAAACTTCTGACGCGCAACGTCGGCCCACGGGTACGCTGCCTGAATGCCCTGCTGCTGCAGTCGAGCCTCCTGAGTTTCTTCTCACGCTCCCTCTCCCTGCCTACCTCGCCTTTCCTACCCCACCATCCTGTGCCTTGCTCCCCTCCCGCCTCGCCTCTCTGGCCTACCCTCCTTCCATCCCTCACCTTTCCTTCCTTCTCTCCCTCCCTCCCCTCCCTCTCCTGCCTACCTCTCTCTTCCTCCCTCACCATCTGTCCTTCCTCGCCCTCCCTCCCTCCCTGCCTACCTCCTTCCTCCTCCCTGCTTCTGTCCTTCTCCTCCCTCACGCTTTCTGTCCTTACTCTCCCATCCTTCACTCTCCTGCCTACCTCGCCTTCTTCCCTAAACCTCGCTGTCCTTCTCCCCTCCTTCTCCTCCGCCTCTGCCTAACCTCTCCTTCCTCCCTAAACCTTCCTGTCCTTCTCTCCCTCCTCCCTCTCCTGCCCATCCTCTTCTTCCTCCCCTCACCTTTCTGCTCTTCTCTCCCTCTCTTCTCCTCTCTTGCCTACCATCGCCTTCTTACCTAACCTTCCTGTCCTTCTCCCCCTCCCTGCCTTCTCTGCCTACCTCTCCTTCCTCCTCATCTTCCTGTCCTTCTGCTCCTTCCGACTCCCTCTCTTGCCTACCTCTCCTCCCTCACCTTCCTGTCCTTCTCTCCCTCCTTCCCTGTCCTGCATCCCTCGCCTCCTGGTTTGTTTCTCCTGTCTTGCCATCCTGCACTTCCCTCATCTCTTCTGAAAATGTTACCCTTGCCTTTCCCCACACTCACTTTTCTATATATATTGCCAACGTTTCGGTTGTAGCATAATCTGCAGTGTAGTTGTAATAATTGTATTGATAAAGGAAATTTAGTTCCATGCCAATTTCTGTTTAACGTCCATAGACGTTCCATCGTCGCATTAAGCGGAGAGTGTCACCGATTACAGTGTGCTGAGAGATTACATGGTCGGTGTTGTACTTACGGTTTATGTGATGACACGTAGCAGCAGCTGTCTGCCAAATATTCCTTCCACACATCCTGATCACACACCGACAAGACTTCACTGCTTTGTGTTTCACTTTCACTGTCACAGAGCATAGGACCTTGATGTTTTCCGATGATGATGATGATGATGATGATGATGATGATGATGATGATGATTCCTGGGCCTTGACTCTCGTGTAAATTTTTCCAGATAAGAAAGCATTTTTCCTAGTCAGCACAAGTCCAGCAGGACCTCAGATCTACGAGTTGGTGGCTCAGACGTCGTCCGACAGGAAAGCCTGGGTCACATACGTCACGGAGGCCGCCGCGGCGTCCGGCACCAACAAGCAGCGGCCCGCACCAGCGCTGCCACCTAAGGGCACACAACAGAAGCCGCTGCCGGAGGCAAATAAGGAGGAGCCTACAAGCAAACCGGAAAGGTACGAAAAGGTTACTGCGAGTGGTTCAAAATTTGTGTGTGGTTTTTCAACTACGTTCGCTGTATTGAGATTGGAGGTTTGTTGTTAATCAGGTTTGCTGGAATATTGTTGTATTTGCTGCAGTGAGGAGGCACCATCCGAAGAGAAGAGTGAAGCAGAGGAGGGGGCAGCGGCAGCGTGAGTAACAGCATTACAGTAGCAGGGTGTCGACAGACAAACACGGTGATACCCACTAGCTGATTCCATTCTGACAACAATAATCATTACATGAATCTATCAATGAATCTATGAATCTGTAATCTCTCACAGCAACCATTAGAAAAATGAAACCATTACAATTCTTATAAATATATATATATATAATTATCATGTATTAGTATAATTATTACTTATATCAAATTTGATCTACGTGATTGTGACGGATGTGGAATGGCGGGGGTTGTAACTTGTTGAAGGCTGCTGCTTCAGTGAAGGGATTGTGGCAGGTGTGGAATGGCGGGGGTTGTAACTTGTTGAAGGCTGCTGCTTCAGTGATGGGATTGTGGTGGGTGTGGAATGGCGGGGGTTGTAACTTGTTGAAGGCTGCTGCTTCAGTGATGGGATTGTGGTGGGTGTGGAATGGCGGGGGTTGTAACTTTTGAAGGCTGCTGCTATTCAGTGCTGTCGTTGTTGTTTGCAGCGAGCCATCTAGTCAGGCCGAGGAGGGTGCGAAGCGCAAGACCAATGTCTCAGTGCAGGACATTGAGAACATCGAGTACTACCAGATCATCGACTATCCGCGGCTGATCAGCCCCGCCGAGGTGCTTGTGGACGACCCGTCGTCGAGAATGATGAGCCGTCGTCACTGCCTACGGTATGTCGTTACTCTACAGGCGGAGCGTATATGCATGACAATGCCAACATACTTTTACATAACCTGCATATCTCTCACTGCTTACGGTGTGTGTTATACTGTTTACTACTATAAACACTACACATCACTCTCATGTAATCTGTCTATCTCTCACATCACTGCCTACGGTACGTCAGCTACATGTCACTCTACTAGCAGAGATATACGTATACAATACACACCGCTCTTAGACATAACCTGTCTATCTCTCTCTATCACTGCCTACAGTACGCCTTACACCACATTATACCATCTACACATACCCCACCTCACACCCACCGTAACACGCGGACACGTGGCTGACGATGATGCCGCGTCTCTTTACAGCCCAGCTGCAAGCATCAGAACCAGCTGATCCACTAGATAATTATCCTTGCTTACTAAACACCCCTACCACTCACTAATACATCACCTCCTACCATCTACACCCTACACCCCCCGTACACACGGTAACGATGCTGTCACGTCTCGCTCGTTACAGCCAGCTGCAGCATCAGGACCAGCTGATCCACTAGATATTATCCTGCTTACTAAACCACCTCCTACAGCTCACTAATACATCACCACCTACCATCTACACACACACCCAACCGCGTACACACGTAACGATGCTGTCACGTCTTGTCGTTACAGCCCAGCTGCAGCATCAGGACCAGCTGATACGCGACGCGCTGAAGAAGAAGCAGCACATCATCGCGAAGATTCTCAACATCCCGGAGGAGGAGTTTGAGCACATCGCCGAGATGGCCGGCGAGGCGAGCGGAGAAGACAAGGAGGAGAGCGAACTAGTGCTGGCTGCAATCGCACAAGGTAAGGATTGAGAGAGAGGGGGGAGGGAGGGCGCAGGGGGAGGGGAGGATGCAGGAGGATGGGGAGGTAGGGAGGGGAGGAGGTAGCGAGAGGGCAGGACACAGGGGGAGGAGGAGGTAGGGAGAAGAGGAGACATAGGTGCAGACAGAGTGCAGGGTAGGATGATTGGGCGGGTGTGGGCGAGAACACAAAGGAGACGAAGAGGCGGAGGCATTTCAGTGCATCGGCACAGAAGGTGAGGCAGGAAGAGGGGAGGAAAAGAGGAGGGTACGAGACATAAGCGGGGTAGGCGATAGTACAAGGGGGAAAAAAGGGAGGAGGCGTTTGAGTGCATCGGCACAAAACGCAAGGCAGGGAGATTGGGGAGACCACTTAGGGTGTACCACTCCATGATAAGGTGGGAGCGCCGGTGGCATTGCAGACGTGGGTCTCAAACTCAAAGAGTTTCATTTCGGCGGAGGAGCCGGTATGCCTTCTGAGGATGCTGAATGCAATAATTAGTAGCCCGTATCGAAAGAATTGTTAATGGTAATGATACTGTTTCACCTGACCGATCGTTGGTTGTTCTGCAACCGGGGGCATTCTAGCGAATGTCTAGTACTGACCGTTGCTCATTGTCTCTGCCCCTCCGTATCGGTGACAGAAGATATTGATGCTGTGCATGGCAATAATTGTGAAATAGAACACGAAGTTGAAGCCGACAGGGGATGATGATCATGGTTCGTACAGTCCTTGAAAAGTCCTTGAATTTGAGGGGAGTCCTTGAAAAGTACTTGAATTTGAGGGGAGTCCTTGAAAAGTACTTGAATTTAGTAAATGTTGATTTTGTGCTTGAAAAGTCCTTGAATTTCATGAAAATGTGCTTGAATTTCATAAATATGATCCAGTAAATATGATATAATTTATTAATGTGATCCAGGTAAGTTTTAGAGGTGACATGCAGTGATTAAGAATGGGGTTATTAAATTAATCCAGGTATGTTTTGTTCTGTGTATGAATTCTGATAAAATGTCTGATAAAATGTCCTTGAATTTCCGATAAAATGTCCTTGAAAAGTCCTTGAAAAGTTCTTGAAAAAAAATTCAGTCTTCCTGTACGAACCATGATGATGCTTCAATGATGATATTCGTTAGAGGGAGTAACGTCTGTGTGGCTTTGTTACAGCTGAGCTGCTCCACAATCTGATAAACGACAGCATACCTGTTGAGGAGCAAGAAGGTGAGCCAGTGTTAATAGCATGAGCATGTAACAAGCATTCTACACTGAATTCCACTGAATTCGTAAATGAGTGCTCGGCACATGCTGAAATCTGTCTTTGTACACGGCAACGTTTGGAGCATATCACACACATTTTAGACCTGTCAAAGGTGGACAGCAACAACACTAGTTATGTAAACAAAGGTGTTTATTTATTTATAGTTGCTACTGTCGGCTATTTCACTAGACTGTAGTTCAATTGTGCTTATTTCATTCATAATAAACGTGATAACATAGATAAAATAATATAATATACATAATATGGGTATCATATAAATAAAAAACATGCCAATACGAAATAGTGCAACCTACATCACTTTTACAATTCATGGTGGTACCGGTGATGTCACGCGTTATGGACGTGTTCGCTTGTTCTCCCGCAGTGTTTGAAGAGGGCGCCACCTCACTGACGGATGAAGCCGTCCTGCCAGCCACCGTACCATCCTACAAGCTGCTGTGCATCGCCAACTCTCTCAACCAGTTCCTCCGACAGCTTCTGGTTAGTACGCGCGACCTCGGCGCGTCTTTCCCCCCCCCCCCCACCGCGTCGCCACGTCTATGTGACAATGACTTAGTACTCCCGGTGTAACGGAAACGTGGTAGCGCCACGCACGGTCGCACTGACGCATCGATGGAACCCAGTAGTACATCGTTTCCGTCACGTGAGATACGCATTAGGGGTTCGTCGCGAGTTTTCGCTGTCGCGTCACAGATGCCGAAGACGATGATGAGGGCACGTAGGTGCTCATGGCAATTGTCCATGTTGCAGTAGGTCATGGCGCCTCACGGCTGGTAAGCCGGAGCGATGTCGAAATGCGACGGTGGGGTTCGGGTGGTGTGGCCTTACCGTTAATGTTGGGGGGTAGGGAACTGTTAAGTTATCATTAGGTGTGGGTTTTGGGGAAGGTGTGCAGTCTTAGTATTAGAAATAGGTGTTGAGAGACGGATGTGTTGCTAACTTACTAGTATTAGCAGTGTCAGTTTTGGTTGGGGTGTGGCGCTGGCATTACAATGGGTGGTTGGGGTTGGGGTGTAGTCTTGGCATTACCTATTGGGGAGAACTTACCATTAGCGATGTGGGTAGGGGCGTCATGTGGTAGGAATGTGGGTAGATAGGTATTAGCGATGTGGGTAGGGGCATCATGTGGTAAGAATGTGGGTAGATAGGTATTAGCGATGTGGGTAGGGGCGTCATGTGGTAAGAATGTGGGTAGATAGGTATTAGCGATGTGGGTAGGGCGTCATGTGGTAGGAATGTGGTCCTCCGACAGCTTCTGGTTAGTACGCGCGACCTCGGCGCGTCTTTCCCCCCCCCCGTCCCACCGCGTCGCCACCTCTATGTGACAATGACTTAGTACTCCCGGTGTAAGCGAAACGTGGTAG